AAATGGGTGCATGGTACAGCGTTGTATTCCACCATGCTGCAACTTACAGAGCAGAGAGTAAAGGGCTAAATTAAGCAACAATTTTACGGCAGTGTTTTGGACCAAGCCAGAACAAAGAATTTCTGCATCTATCCCACAGATATTTGTATTTTCATGGTATCTCGAGCATCTAGGCACACATCCATGGCTCTGTCATGTTTTAGTGACATGCAGTCTTATTTATATCATCTTATCCTTGCATATTTAAGACTTACACATTGGGGAAACACAATGGTCATACAGTGGACTAACTAATCCAACAGTTTTCAAACTATGGTCCATGGAGCATTTTGCAAGCAGTCCATGGAGAGCTAATGATGCTGACTCTCATTCTAGTTTCAAACAGTTAAATCATACTGAAAGACATCTCTGGATCCTGAGAGAGAGTAGGATCCCGGAGCATGGTCTCTAGTCAGAAAACAAATGTTTATCCAGAAATTTTCAGACCTCCAGCCCCTGCATTATGAGCCTGTATCAGCTGACCTTGGCCAGCCATTGCTGTGTTATGGTTCTATTAACACCAGTCCTTCAATGCTGCATCTTCAGAATACCACAAATGTGATTTCTCCTGACATCCAGGTGCGTGCAAGAAGAGACATACCCCGACAATAAGGTAAAGTAAATTACAGAAGGAAATACTCATTCTTGCAGTAATGAAACACCATGATGAGAAGTTGAAAATCAGTAAAAACTAAGAAAACGTATCTAACATACCTTTTTTTCTTTCGCCATATTTTTCCTGGATGCTTTCTAGCAAAAGCTGCAAGACTTGCTAAGCTACCAATGGCAATGATAGCCCCTTGGGGGAAAAAAAACAGCAATCAGACAATTGTTATTTTTCGTAACATTTTGATAAACACACCTAGCAAGCTTCACAGATAAAGTTGTATGGAAGAGTTTCTCTTGTATCCCAGCTCAGAGAAAAAAAAAAAAAATCACACGAAGCCCTTACTTAATCCAGAGAACAAGTTTTGAGGCTGGATTTCCCAATTCATCATATCTTTATAATGTCTCTCTACACTGCTGAATGTTTAGATTTTTAGTTCATTCAAAATAATGTTTAGTAGCCAGTCTAGTTTACATTCAAGATGTTCAAGTTTTATATTAACTGCTTCTCTTGAAGCTCCTCAATGCTGTTTAAAGAATTTAAAAATTTAAAAAATAGAAAACTTAATCCATTCACATTTGTCAGTTTCTCTTAATCTTGAATTTGCAAATAAAAATCTCATCAGTTTGGGCCAGCTAAAATGACATTTAAATTCTGCTATTACGATTTCAGGACAGTTTTCCCCAATTTCCATAAGAATGCAAGACTGGCCATGTGGGGTCAGACCAAAAGTCCGTTTAGCCCAGTATTGTGTCATCTAACAATAGATAGTGCTTAGTACCCCAAAAGAAATTAACAGAACAGGTAAGCATTGAGTGATCCAATCGCTGTTGTTCATTCCCAGCTTTTGACAACTAAAGGTTAGACACACAATCCCAGCACAAGCTGGCTAATATAGCCACTGATAGACCTAACCTCCATGAATTTATCTGGTTCTTTTTTTGAACCCTATTATAGTCTTGGCCTTCATAACATCATCTGGAAAAGAATTCCACAGATTGACTGTGTTGTATGAAGAAGTACTTCCTTTAGTTTGTTTGAAACCTGCTACCTATTAATTTCATTGGTGACCCCTAGTTCTTGTGTTATTGGAAGGATTAATAACACTTCCTGATCTATTTTCTCCACACAAGTCATGCTTTTATAGACCTCAATCACATCCCCCTTTAGTTGTCTCTTCTAGAAGCTGAAAATTCTTAGTCTTATTATTAGCACACAGGGACTACTGCATCTTAGAACCATTCAACAGGAATATAGACTGCAGAGTAGTTTGGGTCTGCATATTCCAGCTGCATGAAGGCTCCAGTTTAACAATCCCTTAAACACACATTTAAAACACATTATAGATTCTGATTTACTTCAGTGGGATTTATTCATAAATGTAAGTGCTTTGATGAATGCTGCTCTTCTACACTGCTCCTAAAGGTTAAGCTACAGCCATTGTAGGAAGTCTTTGGAAAATGATTGCACGTGTTAAGTCATCATGCTAGGAAATTCTGAACACCCATGCTCTGGCAAGCGGAGCCCTTTGCACTGCAGACTGACATACTGACTGGTAGGAACTTCATTTATATGCGTATCAACTTTCTTATTCCCATGAATCTGCTAGACTATCAAATCCAACAGCCTTGCTTGGGTCTTTCGGCAACTTCCCTTCCTGGCTTCTATCTTTTCCATTGTTTGTGGGTACCAGAGAAATACACAGTCCAAATGGATGAGGCCACGTTCTCACCCAAGACAAAATTATGGAAGTGAAGCTTGCCCTGAGTAAATAAATTATAAGCCGCTAGATAGGAAAAACAGCAAAAAGGATGAATGCAGGCTTCTCTTAAGGAATGGCAGTGCACTCTGAATCATGAGCACATATTTTACATGGCACCAAGGGCCAAGAGAAATTCAATAGAGAAATTCAAGAACTGTACATCCAAGTAACTATAGGAGTTCAGCTGCGGGGAGGTGAGGGGGGCAGAGGAGGGGTTAGGGTTAGGAATTATGAGATAGAGAAAATGCAATACGAAAATAGCTTGGTCTGTGGACCTTAAATACAATCATAGCTTTAGTGTTTCAATTTTTTTCAGTTTTAATTTACTTACCAGAAACGATCAAGGTAATGATGATTGGTTTTTTAATGTCTAAACAGGACAAAAATGTGAGTTAAAGTATGAAACCACAGTCATGTCAATAACCTAGAGGAACTCATCCACAATCCATGCGTACAAAGACACGCTCAGTGCCCTAAATTATACCAGGTATTAATGAAAAATTAATGAAGTCACCTAAAACACTACACTATAACATGAATGATCATTAGCTACCGGAAACCATGATCTAACCCCTTAAGAACCTTACAAAAAAGAAAAAAAACAACATAGGCATATTATAAACAGGCAGGAAAAGCAATGCAAAAAAGGATGAACGGGGAAAGTTACTCACATAGCATAATAATAATTGTTCTTCAAGATGTGTCCCCCTATGGGTGCTCCACTGAGGATAGTGGTTCTTCCCCACCCATCAGGTCTCCAGGGTACCAGAGTTCATGCAGTACCCCAGGCTCACTCAATACCATGGATGATTGTCCAGGTTACTTTATCGGCACCAATGGTTGAGAAGGTGCAGAGCACTCCCTAGATAAGAGTTTTGTTCCACCAGATACTGAAAGCTGTCAGTGCCCCTCTTTTAGAGATCATACCCTAACTCTCTTTCTCTGAGTACCAAGGCCACAAGACTCCAGGACTACATCTACACAGCAGCACTACTTTGGAATAACAGACGTTATTCTGAAATAACATAGCCCATGTCTAAACACAAACAGTTATTTTGACAATATCGAAATAACATTAAGCTGGAGGACTTCGGACTCTGACTACTTTAAGCCTCATTGTACGAGGAGCAAGAGAAGTCAGAAGAAAAGTGCTCTGTTTCAAAATAAGTGCTGTGTAGATGCTCCCAAATTCAAAATAAGCTATTTCAAGTTAAGCTACACAACTAGCGTAGCTGAAGTTGCATAGCTCATTTTGAGTTTAGCCCTGCTATACAGACATACCCTAGGATACTAAAAAGGGGCTCAGGTGGTACCGCAAATTAATGTTTGGGGCACACTATCAGGAACAATGGTTGGGAAGATGCAGAGCACTCCTTAGATAGGAATTTTGTGACATCTGGTGCCAAATTTTTTTCTGTGCCGCTCTTTTAGTGATGGTACGGTACTTGTCTGTCTCCTTATCATTGCCTCAATGCTTGACTGCCCCTGGCTTCTCAGGTGGTATGCAGCCCATGTTGCAGAGCAGGGCCTGGAGAGTGTCTTTCTGGGGTTAACCAGGTGTGACGGGGCGGCTGAGTCTGACGGGGCAAGCACCCCACCCTGCACTGAAGTGGCGCTTGGCCCCATTGCCATGGGATGCAAGCAGCTGAATTGGGCATGTTCAGCAGCCGCGGTGCATGCATGAACAGGGATTCCCCGGGTTGATGCACTGGGCAATGGCACAGCGCATACGCTGGCATTCCAGGACGAGAGTGCCAGCTTTGAAAAGGACAGTGCCCAGAAGGAGGAGGGGGAAAAAAAAGCACACTGGACCACAGATAGGGTCGGTGACAATGAGAGGACCGGAGAGAGAGAGAGCAGCGAAGGAGGAAAGTCGGCCAGTGCAATCGGCGGTCAGGCTGGAATCCTAGCAGAGGCAGCACAGCCCACCAAGAAGGAAGGAAGAAGTCCAGGATGGGGCAGAGAGAAGCCCGTGGGCCGGTGAGCTGTGGTACGGTCCCACCGCCCAAACAGGTCGCCGTTGTGTCCGTTCCCACGGTTCTCGGCTGAGACCTGGAGTGAGGAAGAGCCCAGGTCTCCCTTCCCGCTTGGCATTCGAGGGACCTTAAGAGGAGTGAAAAGAACTGTGAAAGGATTGGTGGCAAGTACGGAGAAGTTGGGGTGCACTAGGTGCCCCCGGGTGAGGGACAGCCATAAACTATAACAGGTGGTGGAGACTGTGGGTAAACCATTCCTAGCCCTTGCGTGTAAGGGTGTAGCAAAAAAAAAAAAAAAAAAAAAAGTCACGTTATAATTAGGGTAGAGCAAGGGGTATTGGGAGCATGGATCCAGCCAAAGGATTCAAATGGCTGGCGGAGGAACAGAAGTAGCAACAACAACAGCAGGCTCAGTTGCTCCAGCAGTTGGCTGCACAAACCCAGGAACAACAGCAGCAGTTAGTTAGGGAGATGGTGGACCAACAGGAAAGATGGCTCCAGCAAGGGGCAGCCTTAGGGAGGGCTAGTGTGGGGGCCCTTAGAGGAGGAGGAGAAGGGCAGACAGGGGCAGCACAATTACTGATAAGACTGACAAAGATGGGGCCGTTGGATGACCCAGAGGCCTATCTTGTAACCTTTGAGAGGGTGGCTTTGGCAGACCTTTGGCCAGAGGAGCATTGGTCCTCCCTCCTCACCCTGTATCTCATTGGGCCAGCCCAGCTGGCCTACCAAGGCTTAGCAACTGGGATGCGCTAAACTATTATAAAGTCAGAGAGGTCATTTTGGACCAGGTGAGGGTAACCCCAGAAACTTATAGACAAAAATTCAGACAGGAACGGTACCCCACTGGAGCCCGGCCTCAAGTAGTGGCACAAAAGTTGTGGGAACTGGGCTGGCGCTAGCTTGAGTCTGATAAACGGGATAGTTTTCAATTTGCGGACACTGTGGTTTTAGAACAATTTCTTCAGATCCTGCCAGCGGGAGCATAGCAGTGGCCGCACAGACACCGCCCCCCCAACCCGGACTGATGCGGTATCCCTTATGGAGAACTACTTAGCTGCCGAGGTCCCAGGGAGAACAGGAAAGAAGGTGAGGGAAGCCCGACCAAAGTGAATAGCCCTCGGGAGGGGCCGCCTGTTCAGAGGCGAAAAGGAGACGGAGCCCTGTGCGGGTCTGTGCAGGGGAAGGGGGTGTAGAAACCCCAAAGACATGAAAGAAAGGTCCACAGAAATCTTGGGGGAAGTGGTGGAGCTGATCTGGAGAGCTAGGCTACAAGGGGGGAAGTAGCCCCTCGGAATCGCTGCTTTGGGTGTGGGCAAGAGGGGCATTTCCGGAGAGATTGTCCCTTCATGGACTGCTCTTATGGGCAGGAGGTGTCTGCAGGTGGTAGCAGCAGTAACCACGCAAGTAAAAGTAGAGGGAGAGCTGCTGTTGGCTTTAGTGGGACTCGGGGTGTGGAGGAGCTATGGTCTGAGCTGATTTGGTCCAGAGTCCCGAGCCAGCCAGTGCCACAGTTTGGGTCAAATGTGTACATGGAGATGTACAACCGTATCCGATGGCCTGGGTACGGATATAGGATGAGGCTGAGCATGCAGTGTGCCAAGTTGCTCTGGCACCAGGTCTGGTGTATCTGGTATTGTTAGGTTGAGATTGGCCCAGATTTCCATGGGTTCTGAAAGCATGATCCGACAGTTTTTGGGCTTCGTGGGATAATATCGCAGATTTATACCAAATTTTGTGACCATAGTGTTTCCCCTTAAGGACTTAATTAAGGCATACCAGCCTAAGAAGGTTACAGGGTCAGAACAAGGGGAGAAGGCCTTCGTCGAGCTTAAGAATTGTTTAATAAGAGCGCCAGCGTTAACACAACCCGACTTCTCCAAAGACTTTATTGTACAGACAGATGCCTCAGCAGTAGGGCTAGGGGCAGTGCTGACAAGAGGTCGAGGGGGAGGAACACCTGATACTATACTCGAGTCAAAAATTGTTTCTTAGGGAGCGGACATACGCCACGGTAGAGAAGGAAGCTCTGTCCGTGAAGAGGGCAATAGAATCCCTGCGGTATTATCTACTGGGAAGTTCTTTTAAGTTAGTGACAGACCATGCCCCACTGAAGTGGTTGTAGTCTATGAAAGAAGTAAACCCCCGGGTAAGTAGATGGTATCTGGTGTTGCAACCATACAGGTTTGAAGTGGCGCACAGACTGGAAAGTAAGCACAAGAACGCGGATTTCTTTTAAAAAATGACTGAGTCAGAAGAGGCTGTGGATGGTGAGGAGGTTAGAGACCTAAAGGGGAATGTATGTGACAGGGTGATGGAGTCTGACGGGGCAAGCCGTGCACCCCGCACTGAAGCAGCGCTTGGCCCCAGCACCATGGGACACAAGCGGCTGAGTTGGGCAGCCGCGGGCGTGCATGCGCGGGGATTCCCCAGGCTGATGTGCCGGGCGATGGCACAGCGCATGCGTTGGCATCCCAGGACAAGGGCGCCAGCTTTGAAAAGGATGGAGAGAAAAAAAGCACGCTGGACCACAGAGGGCATCAGTGAGAACGAGGGGACCGGAGAGAGAGCGAGAGTGGTGGTGGAGGAAAGTCGGTCAGCGCAATCTGCGGTCGGGCTGGAATCCCGGAGGAGGCTTCACAGCCCACCAAGAGGGAAGGAAGAAGCCCAGGATGGGGCAGAGAGAAGCCCGCGGGCCAGTGAGTTGTGGTTTGGCTCAAATGGCCCAACAGGTCACTGTTGTGCCTGTTCCCTGGGTCCTGGGCTGAGGCCAGGAATGAGCGTGGGCCCAGGTCTCCCTTCCCTCTTGGTGTTCGAGGGACCTTAGAGGAGCGAAAACGACTGTGAAAGGACTACTGGCAAGTACAGAGAAGTTGGGGTGCACAGGGTGCACAGTGACACCTGTGGCGGACTAGGTGCCCCCGGGTGAGGGACAGCCATCAACTATAACATCCGGGTTCCCTATAAGCTGTGTGCTTCTGCGGCTGCTCAGGAGCGATTCAGATGCTGCCCAGCTGATTAGCAGAGTGCTCACAGCTAGATTTGTGTTTCTACTGGTGGTGCACAATTGACCGTGCCTCAGTGCACATGTAAATGGAAAAAATCTGCACATTAAGTTAGATTAGGAGTGAACATTGGGCGGGGGGGGAAGCCCCATCATTCAGAGCTGCTGGTGCCATGGCATTCAGATTGCCGCACTGGGGAAACCCCTCTGGCTGGCCAATCACTGGGAACTTGTTTTTACAAGCCTTGATAGGAGTCAGCAGTGTTTTTCTTTTTTTAAAAAATGACTCGATCCCCTTTGAAATTAAAGCTCTGGGAGTAATCTGTCAGGAAGTCCCCAAAAGACTGAAGTGCCTTCTCCATGAGAAGGGGGTGGGGTGCGGCTCAACTTCAGCTTCCAGATCCTGTGAGACTTAACATTTTAGCTGTGACAGTTAAAGCATTTCTGTGATGCTGTCCCAGGCATCTGATACCGTCAGAGTGCTTGACTGTTACAGAAGCTGCAGACCGTCAGGGAGGAAGAGCACATGCATCGGCTCAACAGGACACTGCTACTAAAAATCTCCAAATAGAGGTGCAGGGGCACAGGAACACTACTCAAAGAAGAATCTCAGTTTAAACACATTCTACAATATAAATCAAAGGATGTTCATTATTCTCTCACACATGCTTCTGGGCTCTCTACCAACCCTGCACTGGCCTGCCATGTGTTTGCGAAAATAATGAGTAAAAACAGATTTGTTACAAGAGGGCTTTCTAGATGGGGTATCACAATATCCATCCTAACATGTCACCAAAGGATAGTGTTAGGCTATGTCTCAATTGCAATGATACACCTGCAGCTGGCCCATGCCTGTTTTCTCAGGCTAGGGATGCTGTTTAACAGTGATGCAGATGTTCAGGCTTATGCCTGTGACCCTCCCACCTTGTGAAGACCTAAACCCCAGCCCGAGCCCAGACATCTACACCACAATTAAACAATCCCTAGCCTGAGCCCAGAGAGCCAGAGTCATCTGGCTTGGCCAAACACAGGTTTTGAATTGCAGCATAGACATGTAAAAAGCATTGCTATTAGTATTTTAAGTTATCCAAATAGATTGTTTTTAGAGACAGACAGTTCCTGGCCTTACTAGACTAAGGTTGTTTAATGTCTAGCCAGCAACTATGGAGCACACCAAATTGGTAACTTCTTGCCACAGATTGAACGGCACTGCAGTCACTGATGTTAGTAAGTTCTGCATTTAGAAATCAGACTTACACTGCTCACAATGTTTTAGAGAAACGGTCTCAAAGATGACAATAGTAACAATGAGATTAAGAAGTGCTCTAAAGTGGTCTTTCGGTGGCTTCTGGAACTACTGAACCCATTTTTCATTAGGAAATACATCACTGAAATATATAGCCTTTAATGTTAAAAATGCTAGTATAGAAAAATGGAGTGTATGTATTCACTTGTATCCATATTGTCTCCCATAACAGGTGGTGTAGGACTCAGGTTTACAGACAGCTTCAGAAGGTTTGCAGAAGTATATAATTTGGGTTCTTTTTTGTTGTTGTACTATGAATAAAACTCAGTGAAAAGCATTTTAAAAATCAGGCAGTATACTGGGTAATGGGCAAAAAAAGCAGTAGAAAAAAAACTAGCTGATTTAGAAACAAATGTATAATAGTGACCCCCTAAGTTATTAACTAGAAGGGAATTTTTATTTAAAATGTATTTTTAGCAGAAATTCCATGTTATTCCAATCTCAGGCATATAATTCAGTCACGCAGAGCAGTAGTTTTTGGGTGTAATTTAGTGTAATGTGTTTGAAGAACAGCTGATTTTCTATATCCTCTGCTCCCTGTCTTCAACCCTCTTCCCCTCGCCAACCTTTCTCTCCTTTTTATTTTGGGTCTGCACATCCTAAACTAAAAATTTCGGTCATCAGAAGAAGTAGGCTGTGCTCACGAAAGCTCATGATACCATCTATATGTTTTGTTAGTCTATAAAGTGCTACCAGACCATTTGTTATTTTTTTCTGTATAGACTCAATCGGCTACTCCCTTGAAGCAGTTGAAATTCTGTTGCCAGCTCCAGTTGTGAAGCTTCCTAATGCCAGGCTTCTCCGCTTACCACACACATTGTGCTAACCAGCCTAACAGCTCAACTGTTTTCTCTCCCACTAAGTACCTCACCTTCATCTCCAGCCTGAGGAGAGTTGGCAGCTGTGTCCGAGGCAGAATCTGTACAGAAAAGCAAGTTTTATAAAATCAGGGAGGTGCTCTCCACACAAATATTTTAAATAGTGAAAAGTCACAGAGATGCCAGGCATATAAAAACAATAACAACCCCAAGCAGACTGCAGTGAAATTTATATTGCCATGTACAGGACAAAACATACCAAATTGTAATGAATCAAATACGCAACAGCTCATATTCTCTCCCCAGGATATTTGAAGAAAAGTCCCTGCAAGCATGCCAGTGAAAAGACTGAATAACGACTAATTTTCTCTAATAGTTCTCTCTGGTGGGAATACTCACATATCCGCAGAACACTGAAAATCCACACGCTTCACGTGTGTTACCCTTTAATCATGTCAAGAGCTAATCCTTTCTGTTGTCCATTATCTACTCCTGCATTCGCAGCCTTGGGATAACCTTGTGACCCATGAAAATCGACACTTAAGAAACTGTTTATTCCACTGAAATGATCAGCTATTGGATGCCACAGAGGGACGGAAGATTTTCACACAGCACCCACAACCACAGCCAATATTGCCACTAGTTGTGTCACAATAGTGTGTGGAGGCTCAAGCACATGAAAGCCACAATTCATGGTCCCACTGTGGTAAGCACTGCTGAAAAACACGAAGGTGGCCTCTGCCCTCAGCTCTCCATGCAATAATATTTCTTACCCTTAGTATAGGCCCTGTCACTCTTTTTGAGAGGAAGCAGAGGAATGGGCCAAAGACAGAGTTCAGTGGGAATCCATGGGAAAATAGAAAAGGTAGAAGGATCCATCAAAAGGCTGATATGGAGGGTGGTTTTGGAAGAGGACAATACTCCCTGCAAATAGGATGCTAGGAATTATTTAAAAAGGGATAGAAAATAAAATGAAAAATATCTTACTGCCCCTATATAAAACTATGGTATGCCCACATCTTGAATATTGCGTACAGATATGGTCTCCTCACTTCAAAAAAGATTATTTTGGCATTAGAGAAGGTTCAGAAAAGGGCAACTACAATGATTAGGGGTTTAGAACAAGTCCCATATGAGGAGAGGCTACAGAGACTGGGACTTTTCAGTTTAGAAAAAAGGAGACTGAGGGGGGATATAATAGAGAGGTTTATACAATCATGAGTGTTGTGGAAAGTCTGAATAAAGAAAAGTTATTTACTTGTTCCCAAAATATAAGAACTAGAGGACACCAAATGAAATTAATGGGTAGCAGGTTTAACACTAATAAAATAAAATTCTTTTTCACACACCACGTAGTCAACCTGTGGAACTCCTTGCCAGAAGAGGCTGTGAAGGCTACGACTATAACAGAATTTTAAAAAGAGCTGAATAAATTCATGGAGGTTAGGTCCATAAAAGGCTATGAGCCAGGGGTGAGGAATGGTGTCCTTAGCCTCTGTTTGTCAAAGACTGAAGAAGGCTGACAGGAGACAAATTGCTTGATCATTGTCTTCTGCTGAGAAAAGCCACTCCACGGGGGGGGGGAGGGGGGAGAGGAGGATGCTAGCTTCGCGTCTCCCTGGTCTGCTGGGGGAAAGCAGCTAGTGCGGGGTTGCCTCACCCTGTTTTAAGTAGGGATCCGATGTAAGTTGGATCCATGTAACCCGGGGACTGCCTGTATTCAGCTACCAAATAAACTGAAATCTTTTGCTGTCAGAAATTGGACACAACAACAAGATCTGTAGAGGAACTGACTCAGGTGCCCCCTCGAGTGGCATGGATATGCAGCACAATGTAGGGCATCTCTAGGTCCCTTCCACCCTCATTTCCTTCTTGCAGGAAATCCTGACAGTGGGGAAGGAAGAAAGAATGTTGAATGGACACGAGCAGCATGTCTTGAAGAATACCAGTTACACAAACACATAGCTGATTTTTCTTCTTTGAGTGATCTACCTCTTCCAATACAACCTCTATCTGCAGCGGTATCAGCCCCTGTCAGTGGGGAGTCTGAGCTCCCCATGGACAGAGGGTGCTTCACATCCTGTGGCACAGCTTCTGTCTGTGGGGAGCTTGGATTCCGCACGTACAGGAGCTGCTGCCACCCCGCACTGTTGCTGCCGTAACAGAGGCAGTAGCGTGGGGCGGCAGGCAGCTGGTCTGTGAAGAGAGCTGGTTTTTAAACTGATACTGAGGCAGGAGCGGGGGTGGGACGGAGGAGAGGGGCACGGAGCTGCCAGGCCGATCCCTGGGATTACTGAATAGTCGTTTATTTACCAATATTTCATGCGGTTACAAGACTAATAAATTACCCGATATCTAACAACTCCCTAGTTAGCAGTGACCAGTATCTTGCTCTCATCCTTTTTGGGCCCCAGAGATTTGCCACTGCTTTCGGAAGCCCCCCTACCTGCCTCTAGTGTAGTGCCAGCTTCCAGTGCGGTGGACACAAGTCCTTGGCCCCCTGCCATCCACAGAGGACCCCACGAGGCTGGAGCAGATCCCGGCCTGCAGAGGCTGGGTGGAGAAAGAGTGCGGCGGGTTCCCTGCGCCACCGATGCCCGATGGGTGTGTCGAGCGCAGGGGTTTCCCTCAGCAATGAAAATATAGTTTTCCTGGGCGGAGGTGTTTGAATAAGGAGATAAAAAAGAGATGCTACTAACCTTTGCATTCAGGGGCCGGCCCACTCCACTCTCCATTGACTCGATCATTCGTTGTACAATGAATGGAGGCCTCTCCAATAAGAGAGAAACCCTCATCACAGCTGTAAGTTACTGCTGAGCCAAATGCAAACTCTTCTTCACCCAGATGATTGTGGGATCCATGGGTGATATTAAGAGGTGGAAGACAAGATATTGCTGAAGAAAAGAATGTCAACATGAAATTAAAGATTACATTGACGTTGAACTGAAGAGACTTTCCACTAAGAAAGTTATTTCAGATCCTCCCAAAAGCTATTTAGCCACCCAAAAGTATATTTAATATTGTGCTTTAACAACATTTGGGCGTAAAAAGGTTTGAGACCACTGATTTAGGCACTGACATCTTTATACACACGGCATACTTCTCCTAGTTACATGTCACAGTGGGTGCCTCTGGCATCCTATTTACATATATTGTGGGAAGTCCATAGAAACACCTACACTGAGCTACCCGCAGCTTTTCTTTATCCAAGTTCTCACTTGTGCATTTTTTTTAAGGAGTTCTAACACTCCTCTGATTTGCAGCAGGGATGTGAATGGATCAATGTGGTGCTTCTTGCTCACGCTACTAACCTTTGCATTCAGGGGCCGGCCCACTCCACTCTCCACTGATTCGATCATTCGTTGTACAATGAATGGAGGCCTCTCCAACAAGAGAGAAACCCTTGTCACAGCTGTAAGTTACTAGTGAGCCAAATACAAACTCTTCTTCACCCAGATGATTGTGGGATCCATGGGGAATATTTGGAGGTGGAAGACAAGGTATTGCTAAAGAAAAGAATGTCAACATGAAATTAAAGATTACATTGACGTTGAACTGAAGAGACTTTTCACTAAGAAAGTTATTTCAGATCCTCCCAAAAGCTATTTAGCCACCCAAAAGTATATTTAATATTGTGCTTTAACAACATTTTATTCTGAAGGTTTTCTGCTTCTAGGCTTGACTCAAACCAATATGGCCACTGCTCAAGGAGGAAGCTTCATACAACACCAGCTTTGGAGAATGACCTTGACAGAGTAGGACCCCTCCAAATGTTAGGCTCAGGAAGGAGAAACCTCTTGCCTGGCAGCTCGAGAGGTCCTACTGTCCTACCAGCAGAAAACTAAGCTAGGATGGTTTTTGAGTTGGCACCACATTCTAACTTGCACACAGCAGCATGACTGATACACTGAAAGCATCCAAGAGATCAAATTAAGGTAGGGAAAATTAATTGTGATTCATTGCAAAAGGGCCTGATATTTTAACAGGACAGATTTGGGAAGGATCAAAACTACCTGAAGTCATTATTATGCCTCTTAGGGTATGTCTAGACTACAAAGTTAGTTCGAACTTACAGACGTTAGTTCGAACTAACATTCATAGGTGCTACACTAGCGCTCCGCTAGTTCGAATTTGAATCGAACTAGCGGAACGCTTAGTTCGAACTAGGAAAACTTCATTTTACGAGGATTAAGCCTAGTTCGAACTTACTAGTTCGAATTAAGGGGTGTGTAGACCCTTAATTCGAACTAGTGGGAGGCTAGCCCTCCCCAGCTTTCCCTGGTGGCCACTCTGGCCAACACCAGGGAAACTCAATGCCCCCCTCCCGTCCCCGGACCCCTTAAAGGGGCACAGGCTGGCTACGGTGCCCGTGCAAGCCTGCCAGCACCCAGCCAGCAGACCCTGCACCTGGCACGGCACAGGGCCACCCACCCGATGTCCCCCAGCCCACCCCCTCTTCCCGGGACCAGGCTGGCGGCTCCCGGGAGCTTGCCCGGGACCGCAAGAGGCGGGCACCTTCCTGGGCTAGTGCAGACATCGTGGACCTCGTCCACGATCTCCGCACTATGCACAGGAATGTGGCCGTCTAGGGCAGGAGAGCTGCCAGCCTGGCCACCCAGGAGCAGGTGTGCAGGAAAATCAAGGTGGTCCACTGAGACCCCCGACCCTGAGCCCTGAGCTTACAATGGCCGTCCTGGGTCA